AGAGATAGTTTTAAGATGTTCTTCCTTTTGTAGGAAGCTGCAAGTTCTTCAAAGTTTAATTCATCATCACTAGAGTCTTCATCTGAGTTATATCTTTCAGTCAAAGCAGTCCAATGTTTAGCATATTCTTCTTCAAGATCACTTTCAGAGTCCTCATCAGTCCAAGAAATAGCTAGGCTCTTCTTTTGTTTCTTGATGTAAGTAGGGCATTCATCTCTAATGTGACCAAATCCTTCACATCCATGGCACTGAATCCCTTTGCTTTGAGTGGATTTTTCTTCAGACCTTGTTCTTCTACCAACATCATTAGACCTGCTGATGTCATATGAGTTGTTCTTGACATTTGGTCTTGACTTCATATCATCCTCTTCATTACCTTGTTAAACTGTCTTCCAAGGAGCACTATAGCATTGGATAAGATTTCATCAGTATCCTCATCACATTCATCCTCCCCATATTTAGCATTGGACACAAAGGCTATGCTCTTTTTCTTATCAGATTTGTCACTTATCCCCACTTCAAAGGTTAAAAGGGATCCAATAAGTTCATCCACCCTCATCTTGCAGATGTCTTGAGCTTCTTCTATGGCAGTTACTTTCATATCAAATCTCTTAGAAAGAGACCTGAGAATCTTTCTTACAAGCTTTTCTTCTGACATCTTTTCACCTAGAGCACTTGAAGCATTGACTATTTCAAGGATATTCACATGAAAATCATGTACGCTTTCATCATCTTTCATCCTTAGGTTTTCAAATTTGGTAGTTAGCAATTGAAGTCTTGACATCTTTACCTTAGAAGTACCTTCGTGATTAGTTTTGAGTATCTCCCAAGCATCTTTAGCAACTTCACAATTGTTCACCAATCTAAATATATTTCTATCAATTCCATTGAACAACGCATTCAAGGCTTTAGAATTTCTAAGAGCCAATTCATCCTCCTCCTTAGTCCACTCTTCCTCAGGCTTCAGGTCAAATGTAGTTTTTCCATCTTTCCCAACAGTCACAGGGTGTTCCCATCCTTTTATGACAGCTTTCCAAGCCTTACTATCCAATGATTTCAAGAAGGCCACCATGCAAGGTTTCCAATAATCATAATTATTCTCATCCAGAACAGGTGGTTTGTTCACAAATCCTCCTTCTTTGTCCATAGTACCAGAAAGTATCGTCCCTAGATCTCACCCAGAACCAGAGCAGGATGCCCGCTCTGATACCAATTGAAATTCTGGTATTAGATATGAGATGTCGAAAGAGATGTTACGACACTGATATCTGAACAGTTACCAATATATGAACAAGATAAAAAACAGTTAACAATAGTAAAGATACACAAGCAATTGTTAACCCAGTTCGGTGTAAACACACCTACATCTGGGGGCTACCAAGCCAGGAAGGAAATTCACTAAATAGAATTAGTTTGAAGATTCACAGCAAACTCTTTCTAGTTTATAATCCTCACACCTAATCTCTACTCTTGCAATTTCTATCTAAGACACTCTTAGATAAGAGACACCTCTCACTCCCCCTCAATCACAGCAGTGATAAAAACATATTAGTAAAACGTAGAAGACACCCTTCAAGGATAATACTTGATTTTGCTTAAAAGCTTCAATCAAGAATAATGCACGAGCTTAAAAGCTTATAGTGGGCAACTTACAACTCAAAGACTCAGTTCAATTCACACATCAAGGTGATGAGTGAATGACTCACAATTAACAATAACACAAGAAGGTAGAAACCTTATTCCTTAAGCAATGCACACTCATAACCCTAGCTTCTCTAATGTTCAAAATAGGATTGTAAAGTCTTTATATAGTAACACTTTGAACGGGCTTGGGCTTTAGCAAAAACTACCTCTGATTTGATAAAATCAAATCAGATAATTCTTCAAATCTTTTCATAATTAACATCATAGAAATAGAGCTAAATCAGATTTGATCAAATCAAATCAAACTTCAAATCTTCTCAAGATTTTCTACATGAAAATAAAACAAAAGATTTCACAATACTCCACGAATTAACTAGCAGAAGCTCTTTTGTTTAAAGAAGATCTCCATGATGATTTGCACCAGCAGAAATTTTTATCATGAAAGCACATAAGGTTGCACAAAAACGCAACAGATAAAACATAACATTCTCACTGAATATTCTGTTCACAAATGTCAGGACATCATGCTTGACATCATGAACTAAAACCTTGCAATATTAAGAATAACCACATGCAAAATGTTAAGATCATATGTCAAGACATCCTATAGGACATCTTGTGATAACACCAAATTTTACCAAAATTGTTGCCAATCATAGAACTAACACCTTGTACGATTAAAACCTCAAAAAACAGATTTTGGCCACGAAGGCCTAATTTCCCTTATCTCAAATCAGCCTCAAACCTATCAGACCATCAGTTCAAATCCCTCAAACTCATTGAACTCACCATCAGAAAGGCAACAACAATTCAATAAAAAATCCCTAAACCCTTAAATCAGCTTTAAACACATTGAATCACATATTGAAAACAATGAAGGCAATACTCCCCATACCTTAATTGCCGACTCTAAGCCTTTCTCTTTGATTCTTGGAAACCTCGCGAAACTTTTGCCTCAATCCTCTTCCTCAGAGCTCTGGCCTCTATTTCTTCCCTTTTCACGGTCTAACAAGAATGAATCCTAATTCCCTCAAAATTCCTTTTTGTTAAACCTAACTTTGGGTCTTAAAATTGGACTTTTCAACTTCACCCTCACTAACTCCTCCTCAAATGTCCATTTTACCCTTAATTCACTTATATTTATTTAAATTAATAATAATACCAATATATTCATATTATATACTATTATTCAAATAAATAACTCAAAATCCATAATTTCTAATATTCACACCAACCACCGAAAATCACCAAAAATGCGAATATTCATATTTAAATAAACTAAATAAATATTCCAACAAATTTGGGGTGTTACACCAACCTCCTCAACCACCGGATCTGCAACCTCATCAACAACCACCAAATCAGCAACAATAGCATTTGGCTGCACCACCTCATATCTAGGTTGCTCTACTGATCGTATCGGTCGACGTTGAGTGCTACAAGGTGCGTGGAACTGACACTGTTCATCCAACCTCTTTCAGTGTGAACCGGTTGAGACCACGCGTCCAATCCGTATTTGAGAAGACTCAACCTCAACACCCTTAGCAGCACTAGCTTGGTCTCTTGCTCTATCAATTGTTCTCCCTGCAATATTGTCAGCTCTGCCTCTGTATTTCACTGTAAAAGAAAAAAAAAATTTTAAAAATATAACTATTATCAAAATTTTCAGAATTTCTAGTAAAAAAAAATAAAGTTTTTATTACTATTAGAAATTTTGAAATTTTCAATAAAAAACAGTTTTTATCAATATCTGAAATTTCAAAATTTCCGATACATAACAAAATTTTTATAACTACCGAAAATTTTGAAATTTCCGAAACGAAATACCATAATTGTCAATATAAAAACTTTTTGTTTTTGAAATTTCCATTACCGCACTGGAATTTACAAATTTGTGTTTGTATAATGTTGATTTGGAAAATGGATAAAATGATAATGCAAAGGACAGTATCGTCATTTCACGCGATAAGAGATGTTCTAAGTGAGAAGTGTTAAATTAAATGCTCGTCTCGCCTTAGGCCTCAATATGGGTATGGCCTGCTTGCATTCTCAAAAGAATATATTTCATATCTTTAAAACAAAACACACCTAAAAGGTTTGCAAATTTATTGTGAAAATTAGACTAATATATATTATCGTAGTTAAAATCAATTAGCTGCATTTTTAGTTAATATATTCACTTTCTAGTATTTAAAATTACAAATGTTGTATTGTTCTCTTCGTATTGTTAATTATGATTAGTACGTTTGTTTGTCCGGCAACGGTTTGATCATTCGACTATTTATTTTAGGGGAAGTTCACTCACCTTCAAAATGACACTACCGCTCCTTTAATCTTAAAATGTGCACTAGATCATTCAACTAGGAAAAAGTTTATTAATATATGCACTAACATCTCAATCATATGTATAAATTATATTTGCCTACAGTTTTTTATTTTTTACTAAATAAATTTGTTGATTTATACAAACTTAGAAAAACCTAGTGAGGTGAAGGTAATTTATTTCTTTATTTTATTTTATGTATAGTAATCATTTTTCTTCATTTCATTATATTATTTTATGTTCTATAAAAGGAAATCATAATTTTTTGTGATAAGATAAAATAAAATGAAGTATCAACAAGTAAATTAAAAATTGTGAACTAGAAACTAAAGAGTTACATGAATAGTGAAAGTGATTTTACTAATTTTTATAAGTTGAAATTATTTGACATTTCGTTAAACAATTTTAAATTATATATATAATAGATTTTAAAAATAATAAACATATATTGATTATTAATTATATACTATGAATTTTCATCTATATAAATCTTGTGAACTTGATCATCAATATATTATGAACATATTTTATTAGACCAAACAACTAAAGATTTTAAAGACATGCACAACCACAATTTGAGGACAACTGCAGCAGTTTTGCCGGCTTAATCCTCCCAATTGGGAACCCGTTTTTTCTTGTGGTGAGGATGTCTATGGCATGTCCTTCAAAGCCGGCAAAGCAAGACTCAAGAACATGAAACTATTTATACTACACAACAGTGTGCAGGACAGTTTCACTTCAAACCAAGGTTTACAACCATATGAATGTAACCTGCATAACTTGTGAAACTAGTTGAAAGCAATTGTATTCGTCGACCCCAACTATGCGGTTAATTACATCAGACGATAGAATCCGTCAAAAATTTATTGACATAAATATTGTGGAAATGTGAAGAGGAACAATCTGCCGTTACACGCATGCACTTTCAGGAATTACTCTCTCAAATATTCTCAGTTTAACTATCATAAAACGGGTATTTTATGTATAAATTTTCTCCTATCAGATTTTACCAGAAAACCAAATAAAGCTAATTCTACTTGGATTTATTCTGACTGTAACGTTGAATTCCATAGACATCTATGACCCCAGGCGGAAAAACAGGATCAATTGCAGCTCTAACAGCAACTTTAGCCACCGCAGTAACATTGACAGGAGGTGTCAATAGAGGCCCAACAAGTGGGATCTGAGTCAATGCTCTAGTATGTTGAAAAACCTACATCACACAAGTAAATTGCAGTCAATAATAAATGACAGAGAAAACCTGGTGCTTCAGTTCTAAAATTGGCTTGGTGATGTCAATTCATCAATGCAGAAATATTATTACATCTGGACTGAAAAATATTTGTATATGTCATACTAAAGACACACTGAATTACCATCTCCAACGGTGATCCAACTATGCCAAGAGGTATGTTCATACTCCCAACACTTCGAGTCCCATAAATAAACCCTGGCCTCAGAATTATTCCTGAAAAGGGAATGCAATAGTCCAAGAATTAAGGAACAGAATACCCCACATTATGAACAGGTATTGGAAGATGGAAGAAAAAAACTCTTTCATATACTATGAAACATCTTTGCAAAAGTTCACATGGAGAAAATTTGGTGAGAATGAACAGTGTGTGTTAACTATAAAGTTAGCAAATAACAAGGCAAAATATGAAGTGTAAACCAACTTCTGAAGTCTGGTGGTTTCAGTTTAGAGTTCCCCCATTACCAATGTTAAGAAAAGTAGGAGACTGAATACTTACCTCCATACGGAAATCTCGTCAGAAGCTCTGTTTCAGCGGCTCTCTACATCAATTTAAGCACAATATTTAATTCTTGTAATTAAAATGAAAAATATCTTGACATCGAGTGTACTTCAATTATTACAGCCCAGAGAGAAATTGAATATTAAACTAAAGATAAAGAAGCAAGTTCTAAATATAATTCCAGAAAAAAGTATAGTAAAAAGATTAACAACAACGACAACAAAGAAGAAAATGGAAAGACACAGAAATATGCATGCTTCTCTTCAAATGACCATACAATAACTTGGGCCTATCTCTAAATGATATAAACCCAATCCATTTTGAAAAATGACCATGTCGTTGGCTGGTTGAATCAGTAAGGAAGAAAGTCAAGTGAATCTTCTGGAATCAGGAAGCGTAATGAATATCAGAATTCTGTTATAGAGGGTCCAGAAAGGGGAACACAAGCATACAGAATGGTTAGGCTGAAGGTTGTTAAATAGGAGTTTATGGGAAGGTATTACAGTTTCTTCCTATTTCTAGCTATTAGCTGGGGGCGTGAATTATACAAGTTATGGAAGTACTCTCCAGGGAATCTTTTTCTTAATTTCCTTTGCAGTACAGGTCTGTGGAAGGGTGAATTGCAGTGTCACAATTCAGTGTTGATAGTATAGGCAATAAAGAAAGCAGACTACTTTTTAGTTTTTACTCTATCATAACCTGAAAAATGTTAAATGACTTATAACCAAGAATAGTCAACCGGACATTAATTTTATTGATGAATCAACAAAAGTCTGATTCAGAAGCAAGGATCTGCAATAAAAAATTTCAGCATTTTGCACAAAGTTTTACAATAAATTTCATTCCTTTTTCTTTTAACAAATTAACAAAACCTTACAACAATTTTAAGACTTCAAATTCAGAGACAAGGATCTGCAATAGAAAAAATTCAGCACTTTGCACCAAGTTTTACTAAAACATTTCCTAGCAAATGGTGATTCGTTGACAAAAATATCGCTACAATTAAGAATTGAAAATGTTACCTTTCCTTCATAATACCCCTGCAGCAAGTAATTTACTACACCAAAGTCGGCAGCAGAGATATAGACAAATCTTTTAATACCTGTAAGGCCAAAAGCAAATATTCCAACAATCAGTAATAGTACAAATCTGTATTTTGACTGCAATAAAGTGGATTAAACAGTTAACTACTACTTCCGCCATCTCAAATCATGTCCCTATGCCGATTTCAAACAAATTATTGAAATGTAGTTAATATTGTACAGAAAAAATAAATGATGTTACTTCAAAAAAATTATCCTTCATTATAGCTATAGGAAAGAAAAATTAAAAGAATGGGATAAAGAGAGAGGAATAAATAGTGAAGGGTATAATAGATAAAAAAGAATTAATGCTACATTGGTATAGTAAAAATGACATATAGAATGAGACAGTTTATTTTGGCTAGAATGACATAATTTGGGAGAGAGGGAGTATATTTTGGAGATATTAAATGATTAAATAATAGTAACATAGAAATGTTGATGCTGAATCATTAATAATGGTCTCCAAGACGTATAAGAAAGAACTTACAGTAGAATACTACTACGTATCAAGGTTTTCTTATGAAACCTCAAGAAGGTTAATATTAACATACACATTTCATCTTTTTTAATCTTTAAAGGGGTTTATATACCAAGGCATTTTTTCAATTTTTTTAAGCCAATAGCATAATCAGATCCACATAGTTTACCCCATCTAGTAGGGAAAGTCCTGCCCCTGCCCTAAAAAATAAGGTAGGAACTGAAACAGTGAAAAGCAAATAAGAAATGTGCAAATTCATTGTTTACCTTGATCAGAAGCTGCTCTAATTGCATTGATGTTAGCAGTTCCATTAATTTTGTACATGGTTGCATTGGAGCCAAAACCACCAACACATGAGATCTTATATAAGAAACACAATCAGCTCAAAGGACAAGTCATTTACAATACCAAAAATAAACATTTAAACATACTTCTGTATTCTACAGCAACAAAATTTTGATATATTAGATCAGTTAGTGGTCCATGCTTATTACAATTCTTCTTTCAACCTAAAATTATCTCCCATTCAAACACAAACATTTGCTATTTTCCATTTCATTCTGTTAACATCTTACTTTAGTTCTTAATCTTCCTCCCCTCATCTTTAGACTTCAAACCAAATTTTATCATCATTTTTGTCAACGTTAACCGAATTCACTAATGTAAGAGGCCAGACTTCAACAGGTCATATATACTGTGTCAGTGACCTATTTAAATCTCAACCAATCCTACTCCCACCGGAATGAATTATAAGCAAATCTTAAGAACTTCTCTCTTGTTTAATGATTCTATCTCTAAAATACCCCTCATCTAATTTAATTTTTTATATTTTCAATGACCCAATTATAAGTCATGGATGGTAAATTTTGGCAATAGACTTATTTTTTTAAGGGGTTTCCTTAGATTAAATGCGATCAACTACCTTTCTTATTATGCATATTTTAATCAATTTCATCTTATAATAATTCATTCCGGATGGCATGTGTTATTACCATTAATATAATTGAATATCCTATCACTAAGAACTTCTCTCTTGTTTAATGATTCTATCTCTAAAATACCCCTCATCTAATTTAATTTTTTATATTTTCAATGACCCAATTATAAGTCATGGATGGTAAATTTTGGCAATAGACTTATTTTTTTAAGGGGTTTCCTTAGATTAAATGCGATCAACTACCTTTCTTATTATGCATATTTTAATCAATTTCATCTTATAATAATTCATTCCGGATGGCATGTGTTATTACCATTAATATAATTGAATATCCTATCACCCAAAAGAACAAAATAAAATGGTAAACCTGCTACCTAGATGCACTAACAATGAAGTATCTTGTTATAGAAAACTTAATCAAAGCACGGGGGATCCTCACCAAAAATGTTGGTTAAACCAAACGCAACAATTTCTATTTGCAAAGGAAACATAAAATGCATCACTCTGGCTAAAGGCTACCTATTTAGTTGTCAAATATTTACTGGCCATATTAACAAGGTAAGGGTAAACTTACAACAGTAGTGACCCCATTTAAAGCCTCTTTCAATGACTCAGTTGAAAGGAGATTCCCTAATTATGTGAAGACAATTTAAATATATTAGAGAATTGTGTTCCACAAAGATATTTTGTACAAGGAAATGCAATGGAAAAAACAAACCTTTATACCATATGACATTGCTAGCCCAGGCATCGTTCAGGGATGACCTGCCAGACCTAGAAGTAAAAGAGAAAGAAAGGCAAGGAGGGTAAATTACATGAATAAAGTGCTAAATAATAAATACGAAAATGAGTATATGGCCTTAGATTTGCAAAACAGAATCAAATAAAACAGACCAATGATTTTAACTCCCATGACTAACTGATTTACATAAATGCCCAAAAGGGAATACAACAACAACAACTAAGTTTTATCCCACTAAGTGGGGTCCGCTATATGGATCAACTTCTGCCATAATGTTCTATACAGGACAATACTTCTACCTAAATGGGAGTAATCACAAATATGAAAAGGCACCATACCTGCTAATGCTCGCAACAGGCACACCATGATTTAAGGCTTCTCTACAAACATGAGATCCAACAAAACCATTGCCTCCCAACACAAGCAACTTCAAAAACACCCAAAAGATACATACATAATTTCCATGTTAGTAAAGGCATATATAAAAACCGAAACCAACCAACAAAATCCAAATATCGGCACAATTGTAAATACCTTCTCCGTTGGGGGTTGAGGTGGGGGTACATTTATAGTCCCAGCCTCCTCAACTTTAAAGGGCTCATCAATCTTCGTAGAGTCCGTAGAGAAATTTCTCCCGTTAATTGACACAGCAAATGCACTTCAAGGTAAGAAAATAGAACACACGATTCAATGAATAATAATCTAGAAATCACAAAAACAACTAATACTCCAACTAAGAGTAGCGCGCAATGTATCGAATTGGAATGTAAACCCTAACCTAACCCTAACAAAGAGATATTGAATCGATCACAGAACAAGAAACTGTAACAATGATTTTAAAAAAGGTTGAAAAACTTACTTGAGTTTAGAGATGGAGGATGGAGTGGAATGGATCAAGCGCGAGATAATTGTCTTCATTTGATGATTGAATCGAATTCAGATTTTCTGTGTCGTGTTTTGAGATTTTGTTAACGAATCTTTTAGAATCAACTTCTGGGTGTTGAGTATGTAAGTTTGGGCAAGGAGGAAGAAAAGCATACACATGGCAACAATTCTTGCTCACACCTCATTCACCATATGTGGCTTCATTCCAACCTCAACCTTTTTTTTATTACTCTTCAGTTAAAAACAATAACAAGTTGAATATTTAAAAAAACTTATATTTCATCTAATGAAAATGTCAATACTAGAGAAAATAACTTATATTTTACTCCCTCCGTTTTTAATTATATGTCGTTAAAAAATTGTGCCAAAATATAAGTTGTTTTGTAATTTCTATGTAGAATTAATTTTTTTCTTCCTAAAATACTCCTGATTCATCTCTTTTTTCTATAATTTTCAGAAAAAAAATTGTGCCAAAATATAAGTCGTTTTGTAATTTCTATGTAGAATTAATTTTTTTCTTCCTAAAATACTCCTAATTCATCTCTTTTTTCTATAATTTTCATAATTAAGTGAATTTTGTATTCCAATGCAGAGTGACATTATGAATATTGTTTTTCAATGCATTGGTCCAACTTTTTATAGAAAAAGTCTTCCTCTCATAAAACTCTATATTAATTTGTAATTTTTTCAAAATTCCTCTCTCTTAAGAATATATTAACTCCCAATTAAAACTTAAAAATATCTCTCCTCAATGTGAATTCTCAAGTTTTATATATTGTACATTTTTTAATCCTTCTTCCTATCATAACAATGAAATATTTAGAGGGAAATTTGAAGGAAAAAAATTAATGAAGAGCCATAAGAATTTGGAGGGAAAATTTTAACAAAAAAAAATCTTAATTTTTTCTCCCAGAGTGCTTTAGCGTATCTTTTGGAGAGTGATGGAAAATTTGGGAGGGAGAAAAATAAGGAATTAGTGTAGGATAGAAAAAAACACGTATAAATTTAATTAATTTAATGTTTTATTCATGAAATATATTGGAATAAATGCAATCTAGATATTCCATCGACAAATCATAATGATTAATCTGGTATATTTTGAAACAAGAGATTTTGAGTGTTTTTAAAAAGGATAATATTGGAATACCCTATAATATATTTACAAAATTAGCAAAAGTTAATAACTTCCTTAGTATATGTAAAAAGTCTAAAACGACTTATAAAAAAGAAACAGAGGGAGTATAAAAACTTTTGAATCTAGTTTTTGTAAGATAATGGAATGTGTAATGTTTGGTGGGTAGTTCAGTTATTGTACTATATAATTATCAAAAATTAATAATGATAAATTATAATAGAATATTTCATTTTATCGCATCCTCGTAGACGGAATAGTAGATTCACACAAACTTAAACTTGTATGAAAATCATCAAAGATAATGTAAGGAAATTTTTTTGGTGAAAATGTCAACAGTCTGATGTTAGGAGGGAACATGAAGAACACGTGTATGACTATGAGTTACTTTTTCTCGAACAAAATAAATGTTTGTCTCAATATGCTTGGTACGCTGATATTGCTTAGGATTACCAGAGAGATAAATGAAATTAACATTGTCACAATACACCAAAGTGGCCTTAGGAATAGGAAAATAAAGCTCTAGAAGAAGATTATGAATTCACATGACTCAGATACAACATTAGCAACACCTCTATATTTGGCTTCAGCACTAGTACGAGAGAGAGTTGGTTGCCTTTTGGAAGACCAAGAGATAAGGTTGTCACCTAGAAAAATATAATAGCCAGATGTAGAGCGTTTGATATCTGAACATCCCCCTGTAGCGGGAAAATTTGTGAATGTAAACTATTGATTAACTTAACTCAAAAAATGCAAGAGTTGTCACCGCACTTATATTTTATCCAAAAGGAAAGAAAAAAGAGCGAACAAAACCTAAACAAGTTCTAAAACAATAACAAATAGAGAATGGGTAAGGGGGTTGGTTACACTAAGGGAAGGTGTTAGCACCCAAAACGTCTATAGTACTATATAGGAACCCTTTGAAATATCTACACTTTTTTGTTTGAAATGAGATTGGGGGGATGAGGAAAGAAATATTTTTTTTAATATTTTGTGTTTGGAGAGACTTATTCCCTCATGTCTATGTACCACATAGTGCAATATAGGATCAAAACCCCGTAGTTCGTGGTGCAAATAACAAAATGAATTTTGATCTGACCTGATCAGAAGGGGATCACGGGCCGGCCACACTCTATTGGACTGCTACGTGCTCACCAGTGCTGAGGAGCAAAAAGAGGGGGTATACCTACAAAACACTCCGATGCCAAAGTAAGGAATTGGGCAGAGCGAGAGCAAAGTATAGAAATTGGGCAAGAAGTGAATTACCTGACCCTCTTGGGGAAGAGGGTATTTATAGAGAGACCCCAGCGCTGGGCCAACGGTCATTTGAGGTGGGCTAGATGACCAGGCCCAACCCTAATGACTGCTAGGGCTTACGTGGCGTAGTGAAGACCAGAACGTGGTCTTCGCCCTAGTCCAACTATCCCGTGGTCTCCGGAAAGTGGGTTTGACCTGCTCTTTCGGAGGTGGGTAGTTAGGAGCTGACGTGTCCCCGCGGAGGGGTGCACGTGGAGAACGTGCACCGGGCATGTTGTTCTCCCCGCGGAGGGGAGCTCGCTAGGCTGGGGAGGAACCAAGGCCGCGCTTTGATGCGCCGAGGTGTGTCATGTTCGGCTGATAAGAGGGGACGACGAGACGCTGATGGACACGCTGCTTGTGTCCGGTGGCGCGCTCTGCTCGTCCTGCGGGACGCGCGTGCCCGGCGTGCCCGATTCGCTTATTGGGTCGTACGTGGTATTGGGCCTGCCGAGGTCAGGCCCAGACCGGAACAGGAGCCCCCCAAGTCGAAGCTCTAGGGAAAGAGCGAGGACTTAAGGTCGCTGTGTCGGGGAGAGAGGTAGCGAAACGGGAGGTTCGTCGGGATTCGCGTGTGGTGGAACGGGCGCTCGCGCGGGGATCCCCGGTCGTCGGCGGAGCGGGGTGAAAAGCAGGTGAAGGGACGCGACTGTCAGGTTGCCGCCACGTGTCGTGCGTTAAGCGGTCGTAGGGGCGACTACCCTATGTCATTAATGAGCCTAGCGTCGCTTCGAATCCCGCACCGGGTTATAAATACGGGGGTCCCCGCTCATCTTACTACTTTTCACTCTGCTGTTTTACCTGCGAAGCTCTGAGATCTTTGCTCGTCCGCCGTTGCCGCTGATCGCCGCTGCACCGTTTGCTTCTTCCTCCCGTTCGCCGCCGTTACAAGTGAGTTCTCTTTTCTCTTCCCTTTTATTTCCGCCATTTGATTAGAATGCGTGGTCGGGGCATGATGAATGCCCCGAGGAGGGACGCAAGATCCGCCGTATTTGGCAATTTTTCTGGTGAATGTCCTGGGGAGAATCGGTTGTTCCGATGAATGTCCCGAGGACGGGGGCTTTCTCCGATGAATGCCCCGAGGACGAGTGCTTTGTCCGATGAATGCCCCGGGGATGCGCGCTTTTTCCGGTGACCGTCCCGCGGAGGGATGGTGGGTCGGCTTTGGACGCCTCGAGGAGGGTCGACGGGGAGCGCGTGTTTGCTCGCCGTTCTCTGGACTTTGTCGCCCTTTCACTTGACCTGCGGTGGAAGGGTGGATTTGATCCTGGCTATCGAATTCACCGTTGTCCTCTGCTTTTCAGGTGTAGATGTCGGCTTTGGTACCGGGGACGATGGTCGAAGACAACGAACCCGAGGTCCCGGACTTTGACGACGAGCGCATCGCCCCGTCCGAAGAATGGGCGGCTGAAGAGCCGCTGTCTACCCCGTCTTGTTTTGTGGCCAATGCGTCCGACGTGTATGCCACCGTCGAGGATACGCCTATTGGGGAGCCGCAGCATTGGCAGGTGTACCGTTCGAAGGAGCACCTTCGCATCTGCTCGCGATATGGGCGGCAAATGTTTCCCATGCACGAGTTCTACTTCAAAGAGGCTCGGCTCAGGTTACCGTTCTCCGCCTTTCATTTGGGGCTCTTCGATTGGTTGCGCTTGGCCCCATCCCAACTGCACCCCAACGCCTTGGCTTTCATCCGTGCCTTCGAGGTGGTGTGCTTCTACCTCGAGGTGGAGCCCACGGTACCGTTGTTTTTTCGTATCTTCCACTTACAGCGCCAGTCGGTGAATGGCCGCCACTGATGGGTCTCATTTAAACAGTCGACCAAGCTCTTCAAGGCATATAGTGATTCCGTCGAGGATTTCAAAAGTCGGTTCTACCTCGTTAAACCAATCACACAGCAGGGCTCAAATACTCTCTTCGTCGAGGGCGAGCGAATGGTAGACGGCCAGTGGTTCCTCGCGTGGCTTCCCAAGATACACCTATTGTGGACCGCAGAGCATTTCAACCAAGGTACGGATAGGTATATCGTACGGGCGGGGACCCTCGACGAGAGAGATATGGCCGCTTATTTGAAAATAGTCGCCTTTGTGCGGGCCCTTCCTCCGTCGAAGCTGGTGACGCCTGATGGTCGGTACATCCTCGATGTGCAGGGGAACGTGCGAACCAAAAAGCGGTTGATTAATACTAAGACCCTGCTCGGTTGCGCCATCGGGGCAGCCGCTTTGGATTATCTAGGTAGGGATGTTTCTTTTCTCCCCGTGTTCGGGTGTTCTGGTCGTTGCTAACTCTTTCTTTGTTTTTGCAGCGAACATGTCTTCTGTTGAGGAGCGGGTGAAGCAGTTATGCGCTACCAGGAATGTCGCGGTTCCGAGGACGCGGGTGAGTCAGTTGGTCGGACAGGAGGTCACGACGCCGGGAGGGCAGAGTTCGTCTTCCTCGCCTCAAGAGAGTCAGTCTCCCTCGTCTCAGGGAGCAGCGAAAAGGCCGAGATCTGAGGAGCCCCACGGTTTGGTAGATCTGACGGTCGGCTCGGGCGATGAAGGTTACGTCGTCCCGCCTTGCCATCAGCATCCGGGCTATTTTCATGGTGCTCGTTCTCCTACCGTCT